ATATATAATTTAATATATAATAATTAAAAAATTACCAATTCTCGTGTTTTAGAATTTCCTTCTTACTCCAAATTAAATCTTAAAATCTTAATTTTCCGTAGACCAAGAAGATCGTTAGTTATATAAATTTCTTCGACGGAAATGAAGATTTATTCGCGAAGATTTGAGAATACCTTAATACATCGTTAAATTTAGAGCGATAAAAAGGTGCACTTGTAAATTCTTCGGCCGGTAATAAGCATCTGGAGTACCGCAGACAATCGTAATAGTTAATGGGTAAGAAATAATTATATAGAGCCGAGCATTTCCACTACGCTTATTGCTGCTAATCCTGATTTCCGTCATAACGAAGCCCTCAAATTAAGGGCTAACAAGCAGAAGAGGTTTACTTCGGTTACGACTCCATCACGATTCCGTGAAACGTCGATAAAATCGCGAATAATCCATACTCTGCCAATTTGCGATATTTTCCAGAGGATTATTTAGATTCGCGATTTTCGGCTTGCAAACAGGCCCGTCATCCTCTGTTCATTTTTCCCGATGACGATCGATTTTTCTCCTCGACGCTGAATCTTCTTGCCGCGTACAAAATATCGCGCCGAAATATAAGAAAAAACACCTTACATTAAGCTTACTCTGTGCTATTAAGTTTAAGCAGCTTCCAGCGTACCGCAGGAAAGCTATGGCTCTAATAGGATGTACTCGCCTTGTGTACTTCAACCGAGTGAAACACGAATTTATATTCACTGTTCTTAACGTTCCGTCTTCCTCTCCTTTTGCCTGCCGTTTAGTTGAATTTAGTTTAGTCGAATTGCGCGAATTTTTCCCATTAGCGACGAGTTAACCATGTCACGCGTCGGCCGAAGGAATAATTTCGTTTATTAAATAAGCACGCAGATTTAATAAACGTTTCATTCGTTTACACGCTATGAGAAACTACCTGTCGTTGTTCAATTTTCACCGTTAAGTGCGAATTATCGGAGGAGTAATTTACTTCCATCCGTTCGTTCGAGTAATTAGCGAACACGTAATTAACGAACGCGATTAACTCGCATTCAAACGTGACACCTTTCATACTCGCGTAAAAACTCGCGTATCCACGTATCATTCGTATCGATCCCAGTGTGGCAAGCGGTCGAGGATTTTCCTCAAAGTTCATCGAGTTACTTAGCCCGACGTCTTCGTAAATAAGCGTTGTAACAGCGGGCAAAGACGAGGGAAATTTCATAACTCAGACTTAAACGAAACTTGGGAATTACGAGTGGATTTAATTCTCCGGCTCTCTGATTACAGAATCGAGTTTGTTGACGATATCAAGGATTCCCTTTAAGGCGTTCACCGCAGGTCTCCGCGAGCGCCTCAGCTGTGCGTGTCCGAGTTTGCCGATTCGACGGTGAGTTCGCCCATCTTGCCCGTATTCACCTATCGTCCCTGTCCGTCCCTGTCGATAAATAATATTCACCGTGGCCTCTTCTACGAGCGAGCGTCTATCCGCCCAGAAGCTAGAGATAACAAATAGCTAGCGATCGGTGGCGAATTAAATTTTCGAGGCGTGTGTGCTATCCTTCTACGTGCTTTATGATCCGCAATAAACGTCCGGCACGGTGTAACATCGCGGTACATTTTTAGCCGCTGATGCTGCGCCGCATCTCCCAGTCGGGTAAACATAAACAGGGAATCGCATGTTTGCTCGTCATTACGGCTAATATATTACATAGATCCTCGTATAGCGCGGAAATTTTTCCACCTCTGTGCCGATTTTTATTCAAATTCCACCGGCTCGCTATTTCCGACGTATTTATCCGTGAAGAAGTTGCGTCGACGAATGCCTCGTTTGCGGTAATTTTCGTTAATTACACACCGCGGCAACGGTTCCCTTTCCGCGAGTGTTCCGCAGGGGAACAGACTCGAATGGGGGTTAAGGTTAGTTTGGAGGATTATCAAAGAGGCGCGGAAATTGAAAGTACGAAAATATCGCGGCGATTTCGCGTTGGCCACTTGAGCGTAATCAACGAGCGGAAAAGTTGAGAGGGAAAAAGCGGTGCTTTAAATTCAAACGTAAAAGCGGCCGCACAAAGCAGAGCGGAGGAGGGTCCGCTGATTCGTGAACGATGATCGGGGAAACAACAGAAGAGTTTAGGGTTATAAAGCCGACTTTACTGTACGGCATACGCATGTGTGCGCGTGTGTGACAGTAAACGCTTTATTACCGCGTGAAAGGGAACGTTTACGAAAATTGGTCACGCTCGTGATATCTCGCGCGTCGTAACGCATTAATGTCGTATCATAGAATATTTCGTTTATACATCTGCTCGTAACTGCAATTTATTTCTCTGCCTGGAAAATATGCATTTACAGTCGTTATACGCTGCCGCGGGTAATATAATATTTGCTAACGTATTTATCAAGCGTAATAATTCGCGGAAATCTACGTCGTATTTGTGAATTAATGATTTTAATTTTAAACGCGAGAATGATCTTTCTTAATTTTATTTCATTTTATTTTATTCTATTAGCAATCGGAATATTATACGCGTGCTGGTTTTGGCTCTTCGAAGAATTTTCATATTGGCTGCGGAGAAAATAAATTTCGAAGTAAATCGCAAGCTTCGTGGATAAGTCGTATAGTGAAAATTGCGATTTTTATATTTTATGGCGAATGGATACAAGTATATAATTTTTAATCGCGTGTAAATATTAGGTTCAGTCGAATTTTCTTTCTCAATTTAGAGGACACGGAAATTTATAATATTTGCAAACATTTATCAATCGTAATAATTCGCGGAAATCTACGTCGTATTTGTGAATTAATGATTTTAATTTTAAACGCGAGAATGATCTTTCTTAATTTTATTTCATTTTATTTTATTCTATTAGCAATCGGAATATCATACGCGTGCTGGTTTTGGCTCTTCGAAGAATTTTGATATTGGCTGCGGAGAAAATAAATTTCAAAGTAAATCGCAAGCTTCGTGGATAAGTCGTATAATGAAAATTGCGATTTTCGTTTTCTCAATTTGGAGAAGGACGTAGAAATTTTAATTAGAATGACAGATCACTTTGACTGAATTATGAACGTCTATTAACCACCGGATTAATTAATATTTTTTCCTATATGGAACAAATGGTAACCATATTTGCACGTTGATAATTAGGATGATAACTATGGGTGTGCAACGTATCCAGTGATGGCAGCGATGCGTAGTATCGGTAGTAAAACAAAAGTTGATCGCAGTATCAGTCAACGAAGAACATACGTGTCATTCACGTTGTATCGTATTCATTTATTACCAGTTCCAAATACACTGTTAATTAATTCAATTATACACCCCTTGTCGTTATTTAACAACGGCATTTAAAACAAAACGAATACGATATATCGAATTACCTTAACCATTGGTATCACTGTGGAGACATCGAGAGTCTGCGCTTATTTATCCAATTTCGTTCGAATAAAAATATAAAATAAAAATTCACACATTGACTGTTTTAGTGATCACGTATGACCAACATTGCAATTTTCAATGGTACTATCATAGTCATCCAAAACAATTTCTTTGTAATCGTGCTCGATAAAAATATGTGCAGGAAGACGGTCGCAATTTTGTAAATATAATTAACACCTTCGTCTACGATATCGCGTGAGACTCGTGGTAAGGAAATCGGGCCAAACGTGAGTGTCACAGGTAAGAGGCAAGAGGTTTGTAGATAGGGTCCAAGATAAACAATGCGAGTCAGACTAGTGGTTAGTTTTCACTGATGTTTTCCTGTCTCAGTTACGTGTTATTCTTCGACGTGTTCGCATGAAACGTGTGACAGACTCTGCTGTTGATTATGGTCCCGTGGTAAGTTGAATAGTCTTCGAACGAGAGTTTGGTTAGTTATATATATTTTACATCCTTATTATTTTCTAAGGAAAATTTTGGGTGGGGGATAAAGTTAGCCGTGACCAATAGTAGAGGAATCTGGACACTGAGAAGATACCTGCGAATTTATTTTATCAAGGAAACTAATAATTTTACATAGCCAGAAAAATAGTAGGGTCAGAGGTTAACTTTAGAGTAGTGACGCGTGTACTGTGCGTTCGAGAAAAGAAGGCACAACGCGGTTACATCCTCACGACTGATTAACTCCTCTGATTCTCAATTGATCTCAGAAAATGGTGACTGACGACTCGTCTAATAGCTGTCTAATATTCGACTATTAGCTATCACTGTCTGTGATGTTGAGATGGTCGGTAGAGTTTACCTTCTTTTGTCGAACGCACTATACGTCAAATTGACTCCTAACATTAATGATGATGTTCGACGGACTGACTCCGTACCAATAAAAGCGACTCAATTTTAATTAAGTTAATTTCTATTATTTTTCAATGTACGAGACTCCAAATTAATTTTTATTCTGCCAATTATTAATCTTCCATTGTTACGTGTATCGACATCAAATTCATTCTTGAATTAGAGTTTCTTGTGTTTCCAAAAAATTATATTTTATCCAGAGAGTAAGAAATAATATCGCGTTAATCCGAGTAGAATTCATCTTCATCTATGGGCACGTCAAATCAATGTCACTATCGATACGAAGTCAATTTGACATCGAGTTATCTCTACCGATACGGAGTCAATTTGACATCGCGTTGCCTCTAGTACCATGAAAATTGTGATCACCGTTTGAAGGTTAACATTACCGGGATTGAACGCGTTGAAGAAACAAGATATCGACTGTGCCAAAACACGACAGATGTTTGAACGCGGAAAGTCACGGCAGACTCGTTAATCCGGTACCGGCTATCCCGTGGAAATTCATTTTCAAGTGACAAAAGTTTGGCCGAGGAAGTTAACGCTGGCGATGCGGGGTAATGAAAGGAGGACAAGTCGGAACTTTTTCATGGCGAATTTAATTTTAACGCTGGTAAGTCTACAGGGCGGTGGAATCGCGATGGACAGGTCGGAGGCGGGTTCGAGTATTGGATTACGATGGAATGATTGCGCTCTTAATTAAAAGGGGCGAGACAGGTCAGCGCGCGCGTTCCTGCCGAACGGATTAACTTGCTAAATCCGTGTTATGGTCTTATTGTTGGGGCGGTTCATAAAACAGGTGTACGTTACCTTGGAGTTAATTCACCGGTTAAATCAGTCGCTGGAATATTCATGGTGTTTGCTCGTCGTCATTCGGCGAACACTCGTCATTCGTGCCTAGCCTAGAGCGGGAAGAGCGACAGCTACTCGCGGAAACCTAATTTCGAGTGCGGCGATAAGTCTCCACGAGAGCGTAACTCGACTTAATGCAAGCCGAGTATTATTGCTTTAATACCCTTATTTATATTCATCCCCTGGGAGACGAAAGTTGGGCATACGAGAGGTGACAGGGTGCAACCCTTTCTTCGTCGTCGCGACAAAAAGCAGGGGAATTTTGGCAGATTAAACGGGAAACAAGGGAATCCTGCTTTCCGCTGCTTATTCCGAACGTGAGAATTGCGGCTGAAATTGTAACCGCTGTTAGTTGAATTTTAGATACCTCTGGGCTGTAAAAAGTCGGTATACCGGTCGGCTGTGTTTACGCCTGGGTACTATACTTTAATGACAATTTGGTCTTGCAACTCCCACCTACTGTTTAAATTTATAATCCTTCTGCGTCACGCTGAAATCGGCGAGTGCCTTTTCTTGGCAACCCACGTGAGTTGCTATACTCTACGTCAGTGTAAAGGGATATCTTGTATCAATGAATTAACGATATCTGTATTTCTTTGAACGTCAGGTGGAACGAATGTTGGGATACTTCTGATTGGCAGATATAAAGAATAAGGGATGTTGTTTTATTCCGATATATTTATTACGAGATAAAAGAAATTTAGGGGTAAGTAATTATAAACTTGTAGCGATCACGTTCTCACCTTCCCCAATAAATGGATTCCTATTTAAAGGAGGTTTGAGGAAGTCTTCGGTGAATCCTCGACCTCTCTAGATGGCATAGAAGTTGCTATGCCATCTAAGACTATTCTCGTCTAAGACAGGGCCTATTAGAAGAAAGTCTTGCTGACGAGTCCACTAGTAGACCCAGGACGAAACACATCCCTTCTTTTTCCTGACGTCCTTCTACCTACTATAGATATCATAGCACAACGACTAGGGGATACCATCAGGCCACAAGAGGCAACGTAGTGATAAAAAGAGCTCCACCCGAACACACCGAAGGAATTAAGAATTCAGCTCTTCCTCTGACTCCGTGAAGGACTGTCCTCCTTCGCATCCTTGCACCCTTATTTAAACCTTGCACTCTGTCTTCTTTCGTACTCATGCACCCTTTCCTCGATCACGCATTATAGGGTCGCGTTCCCTAAACACTCAAACGCCTTCGATATTGCCATAAATGTCCTGTCCATCCGATCCTTGC